ATCAAGACTATTTATATAGCTATAGTAATTGGGAATTTTAGGATTATATCCTTAAATTCTATCTAAAAACAACCTTGTTGGCATTTTAATCGGATCTATCTTAAATTTATAACAGACCTGAAAATTGATTGGAACTTTATAACACAGCATGTCCCATTCATGAATACTCTCATTTGTCCAGGTTTTTAAAAAATGTCCTCTGTTAATTGTTTATGCTACTGCTAAGTCACTTCAGTCGTGTCCGACTCTGTGCGGCCCCATAGATGGCAGCCCACCAGGCTCCACCGTCCCTGGGATTCTCCTGGCAAGAACACTGGAGTGGGTTGCCATTTCCTTCTCCAGCACATGAAAGTGAAAAGTGAAAGTGAAGTCCCTCAGTCGTGTCCGACTCTTAGTGACCCCATGGACTGAAGTCTACCAGGCTCCTCTGTCCATGGGATTTTCCAGACAAGAGTACTGGAGTGGGGTGCCATTGCCTTCTTGGTTAATTGTTCGTATTTTCCTCCAAAAAGATTTTGTGTTATCTGTAGATTTTTTTTACTGGGTACCTTAAGTTTCCTTTTCTCTTATAAATGGAATTTTTAAAACTTATTTTTTCCATTTATTGCTCCCACTGTGTAATAGTGCTATTGATTTTTCTATTATGAATTTTATACCCAGCAATCTTGTCAAATTCTCATATTAATATTAATGAACAAAATCTGATCAAGTCATGAATTATTATTACTATTATACTCTGAAGTATTTGATTTGCTAAAGTTTCATATAGGGTTTTCATGTCTATATTCTTAATTGAAATTGATCTGTAAGTTTCCCTTTGTAATGTTATTGCTCAGTTTTGTTATCAAGATTCACGTAGTAGGCACTATTTGTTGCCTTCTCAGCCATCACCATGTGTTTCTCATCCCCTTTCTTATAAACACCTTGAATATCTTACCCTTTTTAGTCACGGAGGAAAATCTCACATCTTATTGGCTGGAACTAGGTTACATGCCATCCCTAGCTGCAAAGGTGGCCGGGAAATTAAGTATCTTATCTGACATTTTCAACCCATTAAATGCTTAGAAGTGTTTATATTTCTATATGTTGTGGGAGTTCACTTACTATTTTAGCAATTTCTTACTGTCATGCTTTGAAATCAGCCAATAAGACCTATATGATATCAATTTTCTAGTATTTGAGACTGGTTTCTAGCCTACTTTGTATTCAGTTTTTATATACTTTCATGTGTGTTTGAAAGGCATGTTGGTTCCATGGTCTATTAATAGCCACTAGGTCAAGCTTGTAATTCAGTTGTTTATATCTTCTTTATGCTTGTTATTAATAAGTTGTCTACTTGCTCAATCAGTTTATTAAAGAAGGTTAAAATCTCCCATTATAACTTCAGGGCACTTGTGATTTTGTCAGTGTTGCCATATCTTTGTTGAGCTAGGTTCAGGTTTAGGATTTAACACATTATTGTGATCAGTGATATATTTTGATTTATCATCTGACAAACACAATTTATGTTTTCTATTTACCATACTTTTTTGTAGACTTCTCTTTGTTCTTCCTCTGCCTTCTATTAGACTGGTTGTGCTTTCCAAAACTGTGCATGACCAAAACGTATTATTTTACTATTCTTTTAGAGGTTACTTTTACATTTTGAATAGGCATATTTGCTTTAAATTTTTAAAATTAGTAAGCATGTCTTTCCTCTTTCTAGATAATATTAGCAACTTACAGCATTTCTTTTTTGCTACCCCTACCGACTCAACAGACACGAGTTTGGGTAAACTCTAGGAGTTGGTTATGGACAGGGAGGCCTGGCATGCTGCAGTCCATGGGGTCACGAAGAGTTGGACATGACTGAGTGACTGAACTGAACTGGACATCTTCTGTTATTGTTATCTGAATTATTTAAATTCCATGAGTATATTTCCGATTACTCATTATTCATATATTTGCAACATTCTATGCTTATTCAGATTTGTCCAGATATTTACTATTTCTTCTAGATTCCCCCCTCATTCTTCTTGGTTTCAACTTCCTTTTACTTAAAAATGCAGCCTTTATTAGTACTTTTTGTGGCTACACTGGGTCTTCACTGCTGTGCTCGGGCTTCCTCTAGTTGTAGCAAGCAGGGCTACTCTCCTTGTGGTGCGCGGGCTTCCCATTGCAGGGGCTTCTCTCGTAGAGCACGGGCTCTGGGACACACCAGCGCACCAGCTGCAGCTTGAGGCCTCAACAGTTGCGACGCGCTGGCTCTAGAGCACAGATGGCTCGGCAGCTGTGGTGCATGGGCTTAGCTGCTCCGCAGCATGCGGAATCTTCATGGACCAGAGATCGAACCTGTGTCCCCTGCATTGGAAGGCCGATTCTTATCCACTGTACCACCAGGGGAATCCAGTAGTACTTTTAATTACTTAATTACTTGGTTTCAGTATGCAGAACCTTCGATCTTCATTGAAGCACGTGGGATCTAGTTTTCTGACCAGAAACTGAACCTGGGCCCCCTGCACTGGGAGCAGAGATTCAGCTGCTGGACCAGCAGGGAAGTCCTAGTAGTTCTTTTAGTGTGCGTCTCTGAGTAATAACTTTTCTCAGCCTTTGTCAAAAACTTTTTTTTTGCATGATTCTTAATCACAATGCCCCATTTACAGGCACTGAGGCCTCATGTCCTGTCCCTTTATGGGAGGTAAAGGATCTGCCTGCAACGTGGGAGACCCAGGTTCAATCCTTGGGTCGGGAAGATCCCAAGAGAAGGTAACGGCTACCCACTCTAGTATTCTTGCCTGGGAAATCCTATGGACAGAAGAGCCTGGTGGGCTACAGTCCATGGGGTCACAAAGAGTCGGATATGACTAAGCAACTAACACTAAGGGCATGACACCCCCAACCCCTAGATGGCAGGGCCCACACTCAGTTCTGACATCCCCCAGCTTCCCTGGCATTAGCTCATCTGCTTCCCACTCCTGTTAAGAGTCTCCTCTTTATTTCTAGTATCTGAGGATTTCCGTTTCTTTGGTTTGAATTCAGTTTTATATTGTTATATTTCATCCTCTATTTGTCATACGAGGTGCAGGGGGAAGGTCTATATTACTCTTTTTAGTTATTATTACTGGAAGTCCAGATATTCTATTTATAACAAGTTTCCCGCCTACTAATGCTTATTATTCGCCTTTAAAATAAATGTCATGTATTTTGATAGAGAAAACAAACATGACAGAGACAGCTGGACACCTCTTGTTCTGTTTCAGGAAAAGTTATAAAGTTTTCTAATTTCTTAAATTTGGTACATAGGGAACATTCCCCAGGCAATAACTTGGGAAAATGTAATTGTCTGCTGAGAAATGGAATTTTCTGTAGGTTTGTATCTATTTTCTTGCACTCTCCTCACTTCTCTTTGCTCTACAGAGGTGAGTGATGCTCAATATTTTATTTACACCCTTAGCACCAAGAATGTCAAAGCAGCATATTGAGAAACCGCTCTGTTAAGGAAGCCATTCTCAGACTAGACTTGGAGCTTAGCTACTCCTACAAATCAACAGCTGGTTGCAGGCTGAACAGGTTCCAAATCCTGGGAATTCACAGCTACTAATAGGTGAACAGGATCAATCTCATTTGCATTTCATCATGACTCAGGAATTTCCTGGTACTGCATCCGTGGGCTGATTAAAAGGTGTTGGTTTCATCAGCCCAAGGCCTTCAGTGTCAGGATATTGGCCTGAGAGATTTCCAAACACACTAGTGACAGAACACAAACACTCCCATCAAGAAGAAATAGTCCCCTTCAGCCTGCTGGGAGGGTGGAGGTCATGCAAGAATGAGAGACTCCAAATATGGCTCTCTCAGGAACATCTGTCTGTGGTCAAAGCACTGAGAATGGAGAAATATTCACAAGTGTCAGTGGACAAAATGGGGACACAGTCCAACTATTATGCTGGTAGTGCTTTCTGAATAATGAGAAATAGGCCAATAAGGGAGGCCATAGATGATAGTAGAGTATTCATGGAGAGGATAGCAAAGACCAGAATGGTCACACACTGGTTCACTAACTGTTAGTTTTAAGAAAATATACCCCATATGGCATGTGACTACAAATGTTCTGACCCAGAAAAGTAAAAGGAAGAAAATGACCTAGAGGGGGGTGTAAGGTAGGGAGAAGATCAGACAAGCCCCAATAATCAATTATGTCATTAGTAATAAGAAAACAGAAAAGATTAAAAAGTGTATTTTGCAAAACAGAAATGGCAGTCCTGATCAGTGCTGGTTGATCATCCTTGAATTTTTACCCTTCCAAAGGAGGGATGACATCCTTCACCTTGGGAAGAATGGAATTATTACTGAAAGTCCAGATATCCTATTTATAACAAATTTCCCTCTTACTAATGTTTATTACTCTCCATTAAGATAAATATGAATATTTTGATAGAGAAAACAGACATGACTGAGACAGCTGGCCACTTCTTGTTCTGCTGCAGGAAAAGTTATAAAGTTTCTCAAGTGGTTGAGAAATAGAAACCACCTGCATACTGTATCTCGCTTTGGTCACAGGTGACTGTTAGTTTTGTCAATTCCCTTTGGGGACACTTGAGTGGTCACCTGACAGGAAGTGGAAATCTTACTGAGCTAAGACCCCAATGGTACACGACTATCTTCAGCACTTACTTCTCTACAACTTACAGGCAAAGCTGCCTCTTTCCTTCTGCTAATCCCAGAACCAAGGGAGAAGACAAAGTCCTTTAATCCTTAAGATAAGATTTCATCCTAACATGTGGTGGAAGGGTTGCGAATGGTAAGAGGAAAGCTTCTCCTGATGAAGATGCATTTGAGGACTATTTTGCAGAATTCGAGGGAAGCAACTAGACTGGTGGTTTGGAGGGCGGATATAGAGACTTTCTAAATCAGCTTTTCATCCCAGACAGTCACAGCCTCTACTGGGAGCCGTGAGGCCAGGTGGGAGGGATTCCTGGGCAGGGAGGGCACCTGGAGGTGGAGGGCCAGCTGCCAGGACTTACCTGTTGAGATATACTCGCTTCTCTGTGAACTGCCCATTGCCATGGTGAGGGTCCTCGAAGGGCTCATTCTGGACGACCTCCACCCCTTCTCCTCTGTCACTCTGTTCGTGGCTGTGCTTGCTGATCATGTACAGCTGTCCAATTCTGTACTACAAAACACACGGATGCAGACAGGTCAGCCCCACAACTCATTTTTAAAAACAACCCCTCCCAATGACGGTGCTGCAAGCAACTCATGGCATCAGCACTTTCTGTTGAGAAAAGAAAGCAGGCACGTGGGCCTGATGTTATTTTTCCTCAGGAGTAAGGAGGAGAACTAACTGTGAGTAGAATGCAGAAACGGTTTGTTCCTGTGACCATTCTGCATCACCTTGGCGAATGTTCACCAGGGGGCTGATGGTCTTCAAGGTTTGGCAGCCAATCAACCAACCCATGGTTAGCAGCAGGGAGGTGGGCACGCTGGAATCTCCCTTTTTACACTGGCCTTACAGGGTTAAGTGGAGCTAAATTCCTATTTTGCCTGGCACAAGACAGACCAGAGTGTGTTATTTCTGTCCACTCTTTCTGCCTAATTAACTGCATTGCTGGGCACAGAGGATTAGATGTCACCTGTTTCTTTTGTTGCCTCTCTCAAAGTGTTAAAACTCTCCTGGAGGTCTCTGTCCCCTAGAATAGTGGTTCTCAAAGCTGGATGGACATTAGAATGACCTGGAAGCTTAAAAATATCTCCAGATGCCCAGAATCCCCCTTGAGTGGAAACTGTGAACCTACCATTAGGCTGGTCCACAAGGGAGAAAATCTATACAGTATAAATCCTTTTCAACCAATTCCACTAACAGTGTGTGGCCTTTTAGCCTGAGGGCCCTGAAGCCACATGTGCTTACATGAAAATGATAAAACAGAATAACACGTAATGTGAATATTTTCCATGCTGTCTGCTGTTTTGAACTGTTCCAGTCTCTTTCTTGCCTCTCTGAAAACCCTGGAGCCAGCATGCATCTCTTCACCCAGTGAACTTCCCAAGTGACAAAAACTAATTTAATGGAGGGGAAAAGAAGAGAAAGAGAGAGAGGCAAAGGAGGGAGTGAAACAACTTATGCATGAAGGAAGTCTGCTCAGAATCAGAAGGCAGGGTGATGAGACCCTGCTGTGGTCCTTCCTGCAGATTCGGTGTGAAACGACACAGTGTCAGCACCATCAAGGCCCATGGATGCGGGGAAGGGACCTGAGTCTGCAGCGAGCTAATGATGGCTCTGGGTTATTCCCAAAGAGCCAAGGTCAACAGGGATGCAGGTCTCCTGTCTGTGTGCATAAAAGAAATAGATTTTAAATTAAGGGGGCAAGGTGAAATGTAGAAATCAACAGTACAGTCAGTTCTAAAGCTGAGAGGACTCACCTGTCTGAAGGTCCCTGTTTCACTCTGAGGCAGGTGCAGGGAGGGGAGTGTGGAGAGAATGAGAAAGGCTCTGCTGTGAGGTCAGCCCAAGGGACCAGGCCCAGTCACCATGACAATGGAAAGAGCCGTCAGAGTCTGGCTCTTCTCAAAGGGCAGAGCTTCCTGTCTGTGCCACACTCCTCCCCAGAAGGGTCTGTATTTAAGATGCTTTTAATGCATCTATGTCTGTGCTGAGGATGAAGGGAGTGAGAGGAGAAAGGAAATCAAAGATAAAATTTATTTTTAAACACATTTTGGGATGAGAACCTTGTCTTGGCTTCCCCTTAGTAAGTCCTCTTTCCTTTGCTCATAAAGACTAACTAACCCTCTTTCCAGGAGGAAACAGTGAGAAAAAGGTTATAGGCTGGAGATCTGTGAGATACACCTGTGGGATCAACACTCCACCTTATATGGATAGACACACAAGCCTAGAACAGAATGCTCAGCGGCCCAGGGGATGAAGATTTCACTAGAAGTTGCTTTGTACTTGGTATTCAAAGAAAATATGTTTACTTTCAAAGGAATATTACTCTGTCATAAAAAGGAAGGGGTACTGATACTGATACTGCTTCATGGGTGTTAATCAGTTGAATAGTGTTTCCCAAAAGTCAAATGTAAGTCCCAGTACTTCAGAATATGACCTTATTTGGAGACAGGCTCCTTATAGAGGTAATCAAATTAAAATGAGGTCACTGGGATGGGCACTAATCCAACAGCGCTGGTTTCCTCATGTGTGTGCTAAGTTGCTTCAGTCGTGCCTGACTCTTTGCGACCCTATGGACTGTAGCCTGGCAGGCTCCACTGTCCATGGGATTCTCCAGACAAGAGTACTGGAGTGGGCTACTATTTCCTCCTTCAGGGGCTCTTCCTGACCCAGGGGTTGAACCCAGGTCTCTTATGTTTCCTGCATTGGCAGATGGGTTCTTTACCACAAGATGGACATAGAGACACTCAGGAAAGAAGATGTGGTGAAGTGATGCAGGAGGCTGGCCATTTACAAGCCAAGGATTGACCCAGAAGAGATCCTTCCATCCCAGCCTTCCCAGAGGGAACCAGCCCTGACTACTGACACATGATCTTTGATTTCCACCATCCACAACTGTCAGCCCTTACAATGCTAGTTGGTTAAGCCACCCATCCTGTGGTGCTTTGCTATGGCAGCCGGAGCCAACCAATACAGTGAGTATGAGGTTTCCTTCTGAGGTGATGGAAAGTCTGGATCTGGTTAGAGGTGGTGGTTGTTCAATGTGGTGAATGTACTAGATGCTGCTGAGTTGACTTTAAGATGGTTAACTCTGTATTATCTCATTTCCACCTTGTGGAAAGGGAATGTTGCTGCCATTCCAGTAAACAATGAATATTTGCCTGCCATCACGCCATCAGCCACTGTAGCCTCTTGACTCCAACCCATAACAAGCCTCAGTGTTGAGCCTTGAGCAGAATTCAGGATGGAGAAGAAAAGGTAACATTCTGTGCTTTGGACACTGGCCCTAGATGAACACCTAAGGAAACATTTCAGAGAACCAAGACTCATGCACCTTCCCATTCATGGGAAAAAAAAAAAAAAAGGCACTAAATTCATTACCTTGAGATGTATGGTTTTTTTTGTGACTAGCGTATCTTTTACAGCTACATGGTATTTTTTTTACTGTTCGACATGTGGTGTTTTTTTCCCCAGCCAAAACTCCTATATATCCTGGCTCCTCCCTTCTCAGAGCTCTCTCTAGTTCTCAGTAAGCTCCCCAAATACAATTTAACACATCTTTTAGGTTGCGAATTTTTCTTCAATTGACAACTTCAATTTTTTTTAGTGTTGACCCCCATTTCTGAAGCGGATACCCTTAAACCAAAATGCTGTCCAGGGCTTTAGTCAGGGGCGGGGATGCAGAAGGGATATCTATTCCTCGGCCATCTCCAGGAGCTCCAACCCACTCACGCATGGAAATGCATGGGACCAAGGACAATGCATGACACAGAAAAGCCATTAGCCAGACTCGAGTCAGCCTGGCTGCGCTCAGCTCAAGTGCTTCCTGCTCTGTGTTGAAAGCAAAGGGCCAAGGCAGCCAGAGGCTGATTCACCGGCAGGCAGAGGAGGGCCTGGCTGCCCAGCCTCATTGATCATTCCAGCGGCTCCTGAATGAGCCATCGCAGGGCAGACACCAGGGTTAGCTCACTAAGATAGTGTCAGCCTGTGGGCGACTGACAGACGCTGGATTCAGTCACGTGGGTGACAGTGCTGGGGGTGGCGGGACACTGAGGCCCAGACACCGAGATGATCAAGGGCTCTGCACCTGTCACTTTCTTTGCTCTCAAGCAAATCAGGCCTGTTCTGCTTGTTTTAGCCATCTGAGCTGGGCCATCCTGCAGTAGAGGTTTTAAAACACAAATTCACTCAAAGACACATGCATCCAGAAGTTTCTCAACTGGAGGGAACAGGACAAAACAGAGAGTCTTTGAACCATGTCTCAAAATCACCAGAGATACTCCTAAAAATGCTAAATCCTAGGTTAATTCCAGCCCATTTTACACTCACACTGTGAGATATAGGGAGTTTGGGATCTTACTCAAACACAAGCTAAAAGCTGAGAACCACTTCAGCAGAGGGCGAGGTATTCATTCACTTGCTCAGTACCAGATGGAGCCAAGACCAGAATGTTCCATCTTTAGAGGGCCTGTTTCTTCTTTCCTCTTTAACACTAATTTCTCATAAAGCTTCCTCCCTAAGTCAGTGAGAACACCACACCACAGATCACCAGCTTCAAACTAATTTTTATGTAAAGTGAAGGCTGCAAAATCCATAGACTCAGAAGGATTGTGAAGATGTGAAAGCCAGAGAATCAATAACAGAATTGATGATGACGGTGAAGGGGATGATGATGATGGTGGTGGTGAAAAAGCTTCACTGATTGCCTATCGGTGTGAGGCATCCATTAGGTGCTTTATATTCATTTCTAAGACTCACAAAGATTCAGCCAGTTAGGTATTTACAGATGAGGGATCTGAGACTAGCCTCTGAGAGGTTAGAGACTTTCTCCTGCCATGTGGCTTCCAGGTGGCAGAACTGGGAACTGAACACCACAGGCCTGAACTCTTCTCCATCCAAGTTCAGCCCTTATTTCGCTAACAGGTGAACTGCTTTAATAAACCTGATCTCACTATGAAGAACAAAGAGGGATGGTTTGGAGCCACTGCCTTTGAACTTCACTATTTCAGAAGATGAACAAAAGTCTGATATAATTCAAAAGATCAAAGATGTTTAAACTGTGTTCACATATGGAACGGCGGAGTAATTATGCTCTAACTTTGTAAAATCTATTGTTATAATTCCAGAGTTTGGGGTAATCATCATTACAGGCAATCACGATTAGAGACAGCTCTGCGCTGCAGGGCTGAGCCTCTGTGTGAGCCATCATCAGAACAGCTACCCCAAATAATTATCTCTGTAGTCAAAAAAAAAAAAAAACCATCATGGGGATGCAGATCTTTCCCACTTGCACATAGCACTGAACATTTAATAGAGCTGCAGAACTTGAGGGAAGGCAGAGTTGCATAATGTGCCTGGAAAAACCAAGCAGTTTCATCACCTTGTATTTTGCAAATGTGACCACACATGATCAAGGTACTTAATTCAGTTCAGCCTCAAACCCTGATTTTAGAAAAGGTGACCCCCAAGTCAAAACTCCTGAGTATGTTAAGGGATTATTAAATGACCAC